TGATTCCTCAAAATACTTTCACAGGCTGTCATTTCTTACATAAAACATCCCCAGATTTGGGAAAGTTGCAGGTAAGAGGCGTAGAGAAAGCGAAACGGGGAGCAACAATGCCTTTGATAGCAGAACAGGCATGTCTGCTTAAATGCTCGGGGAAGCTCAAGTGTGTCAGGACTACAGATCCTTTGGGAAATCAAGACTTGGAGAAAGGCAGACGCTCTGGAAAGATCCCCAGCTCTAAGCGCTGAGATCTGACATTTTGAAATGTGAAGTTTTGGACCACCTGCTGTAAACGGAGGTCCATTCTGAGGCCTGATTGGAAAGAGCTGTGAAAGACCTCATTTGTCTTGTTACATCTGGTGCTCGGCTCTGGTTCTTCTGCTGAGAATCTCTTGTGTAATGAGATCAAGCTCTGAGCGATCGCTGTGTGATGTCTATGTCTTAATTCATCTTCTGACGCTGAATTATGCAGCGCAGATCAGTTCTTCGCAAAAGCTGTTCTAGGAAAAATAAATATTTGACATCATTTCCAATAGGCTTTAGGACCCGTGGAGATCTTGTAAAAGCTTTCATTAGTGATTTGAGGGCGAAAGGCCACGGTGGCTAATCGGAGACTGACGGTGATGAGTGTGTGGGGGGCTCACAAAACGGAAGAATGGGTAACACTTTATTTTGATAGTCCACTTTAGACATTCTGCTAACAGTAAGTAACTCTGCAACTACGTCAACTAGCAGTCAACTTAAGATCTTCTAACACTTTATTTTGATGGGTCCACAACATACTGAGAAACTTTGCAAGTATATGTCAACTTATTCTACTAACCCTAAACCTAACCTAACAGTCTACTCTATAAGTTAGTAGGCATGTAGTTGCAAATTAATGAGAATTAGTTGACATGTAGTTGCAAAGTTACTTATAGTTAGTAGAATGTCTAAAGTGGACAACACTCTAAAAAATGCTGGGTTGTTTTAACCCAATGTTGGGTCAAATATGGACTAACCCAACTGTTGGGTTCAATTTTGGTTACATTTTTAAATTAGCTTTTTAACCCAACAGTTGGGTTAGTCCATATTTGACCCAACATTGGGTTGAAACAACCCAGCATTTTTTAGTGTATCAAAATAAAGTGTAACCGAAGAATGAACAATTTTAGATGTTACAAGATGTTTTAGTGCTGAGAATGTCATCTATCGATTCGAAGAAACAGAAACATTACTGCTGCAAGCTATAGGGATTGTTGTAAAAACTTTTTTTTTAAGCATTATTAATTTAAACATTTCCACAGGCTGCAGATTCAAACTTTTAAAAGCACATTGGCACAATCTTTTCCTCTTGAGTAATGAATGATTTACTTCCTTCACATAAATGATTAGCTCGATACATGACATAATAGCTATTGTGAATTTCACAGCTTCCAACAAAATGGCCACTCTGACCCTGCAATGCAGTCTATGACAAAGCCGGAGAGTTCAGCTTCTCTTAGTTCAACAACTGCAGCACAAAACAGCACGTTTAGGGTAACTTCAGGTAAAGAAATGACAGAACATCATCTCCACACGACTGGTGAAGACTTCAAGGGACAGTTTTACTGCATGATCAGTCACTCGCACATTAACATTTGCATGTATTGTTGCCATCCTAATATTGCTGTCAGGAAAAAAGACTGCGTGTCACTTTCTTTCACCCTAACGTTCCACTCAATTCTCAAAAAAAGCAAGCTTTTGTCCCCCAGGACTTAATTATTTCCAACACCTTATTATGCTTGTCCCTAGTCAAAATATTGTATCCTCTGGCATCTTCACTCTGAATGCCAGCTGCTCATTTCTGGAGGAATATCTCCACAGTGTGGTGGGGATCTATAAAACATTACTGAGACATGCTTTCACTTCTCACATTGATTATTTTATACAAAAAAAGGCTGTTATAATGTGCTCATACATTAGAAACGGAGATATAAATGAATGTTTCTGCTCACTTTGTGGTGCCTTTTTTTATTATTTAATTCTAACAAATCGCATGTCTGCAGTTGCTCGCGGTCTGCGAAGATCATTAGCGCCATCTGTCGGTCAGATCGTATTAGCAACAGCTTTATTTTTGTATTTTTTTTTTTTATATATATATATATATATATAAAATAACCTAGTCATTTTTTTCAATATTTCATTGCTAGGATGTTTGTATTGTAAACACTTGCGAATCCTATTTTTACAATCTTTAAATATATACAGCTAGAACGACACTTGAAATGTACCTTCATTTTTCTTCACACATCGCGTGTCTTCTAAATCATTCATCTGTCCTCACACATTGGTGTTTTCAATTATAAGGAGTGTTGAGAATAACCTCAGTCAACTGAGGGACTGTCGCAGTTTTGCAAAGTGGATAAAAATCATTTTCACACAAAAGTTAGGCTACAGTTGTTAAAGAACCTAATATGGGACATTCTTCTCGAGCAATTTCACTTTTAAAACTCGTCTCGTGCTGTAGAATATTGACATATCTTTATATTACGAAAATCTATTATATGCACTGGCCTAGAATTATTAAAAGCCGATTTAGCCAGAACGGAGGCAGGAAAAATGAATCGCTGGAGTAGAGATTGAGAGGTAGCCTATATTAAAGTGTCAACAGCTCATTTCGATATTTTTAACCATCTTTTCAAATTCTGGTAATATTACAGCCTACTGATTCATGTGTTTTCTGGACTCATCCACTTAAGCGTTCCCTGGTAATGAAACCCATGACTTTACGCTACAAACACTGACTGCAGCAGCACATTTGAAAAGCGTTCACACGGCACGTTTAGTTCTCAAAACCACTCGCGCATTTTGAGGTTCGTTCTGGTGACGTCACATACAGGGCGGTGCTCCGAACAGGTGTATTTCACAGGTGTAAAGAAAAGTAAATGCCAGAGGAGAAGTACGAGTCCGTTTAGTCCCGTTGTTTCATGTAGGCTAGACTCAGGTGTACAATGGCCCCTAAGTGTATTGGGGGCTGCGCCGCGTTATTTGTCCTCGGGGTTACATTTGATATAATCGGGTTTGCTTTGCTTTTAGTCGGCATTTTTGCCAATCTGCGATTGGATGGCAGATTTTACGGAGACTTCTTAATCTATACTGGTTCTTTAATAGTTTTTCTCAGTCTTTTCTGGTGGATCATGTGGTACACTGGGAATATTAAAGTTTCCTCTGAGGATCTGGAGAAGAGGACTTTTGATAACTTTGCGCACTGGTTGCGACTGTCCAAAAAGGGGCTGAACAGCGAGAAGTGCACGGATAACATTAAGAAGTCGATGAACGGCGATGTGACGCATCACGCTCCGAAGCGGATAACGTGGGAAAACTCCGGAACAGCGGGATGCGTGAATGCAGCTTACGACGCGCCACCGAGTGAGAAGACCGTGGAGCTGCAGATCCTGAAGAACTCCGAGATGTTCCTGCAGAGCAGCGGGAAAGCGGAGAGATTTCTCTGAACAGACACTGGTACGTTGACACTTACCTGCTATCGGTTCATTCTGGAAAAGAACCTAATATGGGACATTCTTCTCGAGCAATTTCACTTTTAAAACTTGTCTCGTGCTGTAGAATATTGACATATCTTTATATTACGAAAATCTATTATATGCACTGGCCTAGAATTATTAAAAGCCGATTTAGCCAGAACGGAGGCAGGAAAATAAACAGGATGGAAATGAATCGCTAGATATACTTCAATCAACCAAAAAGAAAGAGAGAGAGGGACAGGGGCATTATAAAACATAATAGTAATGGCCTATATAACTCCATAGTATTTGCTTCAGGGTCAGTTTGGTGTTGATTACTTAACTTTACAAGTTCAAGCTCATTGTAGCTACAGGTTCTATGAAGACAGACTTCTTGTGGGCCTACTGTTTTATGAAAAGAGGGGGGAAAAAATTAAAAAAAAGTCTTAAAAAAAACAAAAGTCAACTGTTGTGGACCTGAGACTTTTGTTTTGACCAGTACTGAAAAACACTTAAGATTATATTTCAAAAGTATACCTTAATGTGTATTCCACGAGTATTTGTTGTATGGATTCAATGTCTTGAGGATATCGTACACTTGTGAAACTTGATATGCTGTTCTTCTCTCGTCTCAGGTGCATTTTACTTCTGTTCGTCAGAGTCGGACTAAGACGAGGAAAAGCAGCAGTAAGACTGGAATGTTTTAACCAAACCTTCATATTTGGACTGACTTGAGAAATGAAGTCATTAATCAATCAGGGATTTTTAATGAGCACTTTACATAGGATCAATACATTTGTACTTTTAACTTATACTGAAAGTTGCATTTCAGATTTTGTGTTTGATCTTCATCCTTATTAAATAAGAGTTGTCAGAAAATGATTTGGCCAGTTACTTGTTTTTGTTATTTTACACGATATGGGAGCTTCTCGTTATTTCTAATAAATCTTGATTTTATTCTTCTGAAATGTCTGCATTGTTTTATATAACCCCTTTATTCTGGCTTTATGATTAAATCCCCAGAGTTAAATCAACTCTGCTCAGAGTACACATTGTCCCAATCTTCAGAGTAACAAAGAAGCCGAGTTAAAGCTAATGGGATAATTATGTAATTCATTAATTGACGAGTGAGCATTAATAAAGAAAACCCGCTGTTAACAATGTTGGAAGATGAACAACTACAGCTCAGGCTTTTAGATATGAAAACATATCACATAATCCTCAACAGTGGTAACTCTGCTTCAGAGTTGCTTTAACACTCTATATTGGGACAATATGTCCTCTGAGCAGAGTTGATTTAACTCTGGGGATTTTGCACTTGTTTCTGTTATTAGTGATACAGCCCTAGCAGTCATATGCAGTTGCGTATGGACTACTATATGAACTCTGTTAAAACAAGCATTACAAATATTCCTCAGCAAACTTTTATTGGGATCCAAGTAATTTAGGCTCAGACCCTGAGCGTTTCAGGAAACCTAATATGAAAAAGAGGACGCGAGTAAACATCATTTTGATATGATGTAATAGCAAATAACTCAAACCCTCAATAGTGTTTTTTTTCTTTTCTGGGAACAAAAAAAAAAATAAATCAAATAAAAATGAAGAAACTACATTCATTTCCATGACCACGAGTCCACGTCTTTAAAAATGAAAAGAAAATTAAAAGAAAAAGCAACCTCACTTCAGCACTGCTTGTTAAGTTGAGTATTTGTGCCTCAGGAAACACACACAAATAAGATCCTAAAGTACACATACGACAAAATACTGCATATCTACTAAAGACTGCATTAGGTAGGTGGACATGGTAGCTAGCTGCCATGATACAGGAAAAAAAACCTCCCCACATTTCCCTTTGCCCAAGAGAAAAAAAAACACAAATTTTTCCATCTGTGAATATGAAGCTGAAATAAGGAGCAGGTTCACATTTTAAGAGCTAATCGGTGTTAAACGATGTTTGGCAAGTCCATATCTGACCTGTCTTTTCAGTCGAATGCAAATGTTCAAGAATCTCGAGCACACATCTGATACGCATGCGTGACATTACGTTAATATTTATATTGGTCATTGGCCGGCCGTTTGTTCGGTAACGCAAAGGGGGCTCGTCTATTTGCTCTCCATCCACGTTCAGCCCAGAGTTCATAGTGATGGAGACCTTCTCTGCTGGGTTACACCCACAATACATTTCATTTTATAACTTCAAGTAGGCTATATTAATATATGTGTGTGCATATATCTGTGAGTATTTACCTAATCATGTAAAAGGCCCACCGTCCCTCCCCGATTTTAATCGTTACTTCTCTCCAAAATCCACTGACATTCATCTCACCTCACTATTTGGCACCTTGGATTCATTAACAGATGATGTGGCTGCAGCAGGTGCGTGGCTGGCGGGGAGAAAAAAAATGGGTTGAGGTCAAAGGTCGCGACATGGCTGCCCTAGTCAGTGGCGTTCTGCTGGTCTCTCTCCACGGTGACGGAGACGGTGTCCCCTCCATCTTCAGTCTTGGCTCTTTTGGTGTCAGGCTGCTCTGCTTGGTCTCCGTTCTGCCGTTTGGTTGGTAGAGACGCTGAGGCCGAGGCGTGGGTCGCCAGCATGTGCAGAGAACTCGCTGAAAAACAGCAGACGGATCGCGTTAGCTGTGCGCAAGACACGCTAAAGCAACGCTCTGGGTTCAAAGCTAGAAACTGCCAACTATATTACATCAGTTCGTAAAAACACACAAATGTGCTGATGGGAAGTCTGTGATTTTTATAGATCCATAACCATATAGAGGAGTGTGGGCCAGAAGCCTGTGAGCACTAGTGAAAATGTAGCTCTTTTCCGGTTATGTGCAAACTGTCCTGACTGCCCTAAACCTAACATTAAAATCAACCACCAGGGACAGCATTTCATTTCTTTAAAGGCTAATGCCCGATTCAGACTACATGATTTTAGCCCGATTTTGCCACGATTTGCTTGACGTAGGGTGTCGTGGGGATTCGTAAACGACAATGGGCGTCTGGATGCAAGATTCCATCGTTTCAGCACGTGTAGTGTGTCATAGTGGACGACAACCGATTCCACGTCTGCGATGCTTCACGACAGAAAGACCAGCATGTTTATTTTTTTTTTTTCTGTCGTCCACGACGAGTTCTGTCACATTGGTGACGTTGACCAATAGCAGCACAGAAACTCTTTCATACACAGGTTTCAAACATGGCGAAACGAAAGAGAGATGATGGTGCTGCTAGGTGGAATTATGAGATGGAGGAAAGGTTCGTGGAGCTGTGGCAACAGTACTCCTGCCTTTATGATGTGTCATCGAGGGACTACCACGACAGAACAAAGAAAGAAAAATGCAGGCGAACTATAGCGGAAGCGCTTCAGGAATGTTTACACTCTTGTTTTCGGAACTCAGTCGCTAGTTCCGCCTTCTCGATGACATAACATGCGTCGTTAAAGACGGTACGCGATGAATGGTCAGGAAGCAATGTGTAGTCTGACATGTTTCTTGTTCACGACACGACAAGATTTTAGGAGTCAAAATTATGTAATCTGACAAAGTGACTATCGTGACCGACAAAAATATAGCGTAGTCTGAACCCGGCATAAGATGTCTTTATTGACATTTCTGCATCATAAACACTAGTCCTACTCATTTGCAGCAAAAATTTGAATTCTCATTATTTTAATAGTGAGATCATGATTATTTAGCAGGATTACTCACTGATGTTGGAAACATCACAAATTGAAATGGTTCCATGGTGCTCGTTGTTGTATTTTAAAACACAATAGCAATGTTTGCAAATGACATTATCGGCATTTAAAATAAAATGATCCCAAACGTTACTAGTGCGTTGCCGCTGTACCGCACAGTCAGTGAATACAATACAACACCCTTCCACCAGCAGTAGCCTACGGCAAAACACACTGTTGCTCACATGAAACATTTTTTCGAGTAGTATGACAAGTGAGGTACAAAGCTTTGTTTATTAGAGAAATAATTGGTTTGCAGGCAAATGTTACACCGCCACTATGCTTTTGGAATTTTTTTTTTTCTTTTGTTCGAGCCCATAAATTTAAATCAATCCATACGTGGCTTTGTGTTCCGTCTTGCGGGTTGGTCACGAATTTCCATGATTTTAATATTGGTTTCTTTTCCCAAATCCTCACCCTCTAATTTCAAGGGGTTAATTGCAAAAGCAGGGTCTTTTGCAATTATTTTTGCAAAAGACCCTGCTTAATCGGCCATCGATAGATTTAATCGATTACATCTCTTATCGACAATTAATTGATCGTCGATTAATCGTTGACATCCCTAAATTCAACTGAAATATTAAAGGGATCATGAACTGCCTCCGTTTTTTATTTTGCATTGTTTTCTGAGGTCCACTTATAATGTCATCAAGATTTTTACATCAAAAAACAATTTTGAAGTAATAGGCTATTTTCTGTCCTGTTTTTGACCCCCCCTCATCAGAACGATCCGACTTGGAAGTAAACGCCCACTGCTATGAGTGACTTGTATATGTTTGACAGTCTACGTCCTTCTCAGATGTGATTTAGGTTAAAAACGCATAAATACTCAGTACATATCAAACGATCTGTTTAACAGACAAAGCAATAGTGATCACGTAATAAAAACAGTTACTCATACTTGTGTGTTGTGACGAGACTCTCGGAAACAATATAGTCGGCACAGCATCGCCTTTTAGTTTCAATATTTTGAAAATCCCATTAAAACATGAAGATAATGATCCCAAAACTCATTTTAACATTGGGATCAGAAGGAAGGCAATGCAAATACGTTTTTTTTCCCACAACCCGGCACTGCACAGCACCTTGTTGTCTTCAGAGTCATCTTTATCGTTTGGCTTCTGCGTAGACCTGCGTGTTCGCCCCTTGTAAACACCATGTGCATACTGACATTGATGTCAAGCTTCTTCTGCAAGGTGGCGCTTATCCACACTATTTCATCAGAGAAGAACATTCCAAAAGTTGTCGTTTTGGCAGACTGCCTTCAATATAGCTGTAGACTAACGACAAAGTTTTGAGTTCTGAAACTTACAGGATGTTTTATAGCACAATGACCTCTTATATGTCAAAAGATCAAGGGAATTTGGGTTTCTCAGTTCATAACCCCTTACTTGCCCCATAAGTAAAGAACTGGGCGCGAGTTTAACTCAAAATAAAAAAAAAAAAAAACGTTCAGCAAGTGGCTTTGAGCCAAGATGGACGAACAAATTCTGACAAACATTTAAGGAATAGTCAGACCACTGATTACAAGGTTTTTCACCAAATAAATAGATACATGGACAAAAATTAGCATCTAAAGGCCGGGAAACACCAAGCCGACTTCAAAGAACTAGCGGCGAAAGCCGATGGGTGTTGTCGCCTCGGCAGCGTCAGACAAAAATCTGCACTTGAACACACTACACATACTACAGCCGACTGCAAACTAACACGTGCGTTCTGGAATGAGCGGCCTATATCAGCAGCTATCAATATTACCGTATTGACCCGAATATAAGACGATGTTTTTTTCTTGGAAATACATCTGAAAAAACACGGTCGTCTTATATTCGGGGTCTAGACTTTGTCAAGACATGTCAATACACCCACAACAATAGGTGGCGCCAAATACGCATAAAACGAGTGTGCCATGAAATACGTAATGTATGTTGTAAAGATCGCGAGTAAAAACAAAAGAAAAAGAAAAGCTTACAGGTGCATGAGTCGTGACTGTCACGTTAGCCTGATGGGACCAAACTCCCTTTGTGATTTTAAAACGTAAGACAGTACCCAGATTTGAAGACTACGGTAAGATTTAACTTCTACTGTTAATAAGATTTTGGTAGGCTACTATTAGATGGATAGCTTAAATGTCCTAATTCAGATGGGCTACCGTGTTATTTTTTTTTTTTTAATGGTATAACAAAAAGTGTATATTTTTTTTAAATGTGATTGTTGGTACATTTTACCAGTTTTTACCATACTTTCAAAACAAAAATTAAAATAGGAAAAATACGCAATATGAAAATTGAAGACAAAATGTGTTTTACTGAGAAAAAACAAGATTTGGTTTTTAAAAAGCCTTTTTCCAAAAGGTACTTCTGGAAAAGGGGGGTCGTCTTATAATCAGGGTCGTCTTATATTCGGGCCAATACAGTATATATTCGTCATTTAAAAGGAAAAACCAAAGCAAGGATATACGAGATGTACGTAGATATACAAAACGTAAACAAAGCAGTGCTTGCGTACCATTTTAAATATCAGTTATGTTGATAACTTTCTTCATTTTAATCTACGTTATGAAAATTTTCGCACATTGGAATGCTTGGGTAAGATCACACAACATTAGAACAGCCTTCTCTCTGTGCCGCCTGCATTTACTTGCTAGGTTTCATCACTTTCGCTTTAATTCTCCTGCACAGACTCGTTCGCTAAACTGAACATCCGGCGTCGGGGCTCAACATGTTGAATTGGACAAACTGCCACCGACGTGAGCCCGATGTCAGGCGACATGTGGATCACACCAAACAAACCAGCCCGACAGACGCTCGCCAACCTTAAAGAGTTGGGAGAAAACTGGATGTGTCAGATGCACGTCATGTGATCAGGTTTTAAAGAGACAGCGCTGCTTTTAATATATAAGTTTTAATTCCATGCAGATCTCTAATTCTGTATGCTCACCTTTGAGCTCTCCGTTTTCATGCGATTCTGCTTTAACGATGCTGGACTGGGTGTAAACAGGCTCTGGCACATGCGTGTTGGCTGTAGACAGTCCGGTTACGGTCGCAATGGAAACAGCAGGGATCTGATGCACCACATGGACAGTCTGCATGACAGGCTGCTGGGATGTGGGAGTGGACACCGGTGTGGCGACGGCGTAGGTCACAGGTTTGATGGTGTGCGGTAGCTGCCGCTGAACTGTGATGAGAACCGGTTGGGTGTTGAGAGGCGAACCTGTGTGGTTTTATGTTTGGTTAAAATGCAGCTGACCAGCAGTGGGAAAACACAATCTGACAGTAGAACAGTGGTTCGCAAACTGGGGTACATGTACCCCTGGGGGTACGTGAGATGACGGTGGGGGGTACGCGAACAAAATTCGGTGTTTTGGCATTCATTTAATACCCCAACTTAAAGCAACATTAAAACGGAACGCATTTCTGACAAGCAAAATGCCGCTTCTAATGTAAAAACAGGAAAACTGGGGTGCCGTAAACGGTCAAATACATGATATCCAATCAGCTTACCTCATTTTTTGCGGTCAAAACTGACTGCATCCACACAAGCAGCATGCATGTGATAGGATGGCGGCTGAATGCAGCCTACATTTTGAACAGAATATTGTCATGTTTGTTCCATTTTGCAACGAAATAATAGTTCCAACGAAATCTGTATCATCTGGTGTGCGTCTCCAAGCATCATACAGCAGTTTCGTTAGTGAACGAATCTGCGGCTTTGAACGATTTGGAGAGTCAGTGATTAATAACCCATTCATAACTACAGCATTTTACTTCCTTACTGAATGAATGAAGCGACGCCTGACTCATTAAGACAGCGACTTGCCGCCACCTATTGTTTAATTTGTAAATTTACAAGTATCACTTCGATTTGCCATAATTTATTGCTTTATTTATTATATTAATAATCAGTGTTGGAGGTAATATATTACAAGTAACGCAAGTTACGTAATCAGATTACTTTTTTCAAGTAACTAGTAAAGTAACGCATTACTTTTTCATTTACAAGAGAATATCCGAGTTACTTTTTCAAATAAGTAACGCAAGTTACTTTTTTTTTTTCAATTTATTGACTGACAGCTCTCCTGTCCCCATGTTGAGAGAAATCAGATGTTACTGTAGTTCTAAAATAAATATGAATATGCATTAATTCATCTCGCACAAAAAAAAAAAGATTCAGTATTCCTCAAAATGAATAAAAATAATGCAACTCAGAATATGACGCAGACCTGCAATAATTAAATGTTAAACAACAGAAACATCCTTTATGTATTTAATCCCATTCTATTAACCGATGTCTTTGCTTCTGACCTTCGATGATCCAGTTCAACCGTACTAATAAGCAAAAATTACTCTAGACAAACATTTTAGTTTTTTTTTTATTGCTGAAGTGTGTTGAAATTTTCTTCTGCGTTCTACTGTACAGACGTAAATGTACTTTCCCTTCAGCTTATTCATTTCACTTTTGGTGTGAAAAGGTTTTTATATTTGCAAAAAATAACTTTTTTATTTTAAAATCAAACAAGCAAGCCCTGTCCAGATTTAAAAAGTAATGCAAAAGTAACATAACACATTACTTTCCATAAAAAGTAACCAAGTAACGTAATTAGTTACTTTTTTATGGAGTAACGCAATATAGTAATGCATTACTTTTAAAAGTAACTTTCCCCAACACTGTTAATAATACACTTAATGAAATGTTAAGAATATGACATAAAACATGACAAAATTAATAAGGATAGAAAATATTTGCCTCTATAAAAGCTAATAAATGCACCTGTAAATCAATTTAAGGGTGCAAATATGGTCCTTTAATAGAAAAGGTGTGACTGCGGTCTAAGTGGAAGAGAGGGGGTACGCAGAAGAATGTTAAATGCCCCAGGGGGTACGCCGCTGTAAAAAGTTTGAGAACCACTGCTCTAGAACAACGCCCCACACATGATGATTAGCATCTCTCTAAAATTTAAAGGACGCTACATATTTACAGGTTCATTTATACAGCGAGCAAACAACAGTAAATGTGATACTACAAGACCAATGTGCTGTTTTAAAATTAAATAACTGAAAAAGGGTGGAAAGGACCATGTGTTTATTACATTAAACACATTAAAGGCTTACATAATGTCTCACTAAAGAATTTCCATGACTTTTCCAGGTATTTGTGTTATCTGGATAAGGATGCTTCAAAACTGATTTGATTCAGACTGATTCACCAGTGAACCAACCAATTGGTGAACATTATACTCAATACCTATACTACTCTTAATTTCAGCAAAGGCCATGTTTTAACTCGTGCATGAGGAATGACCTTACCTGAAGCATTTTGTGCAAAGCAAGCCTCTTGTATGACTGCTAATTTGGGCTGAACGGCTGGAGTAGGAGCAGAGGCAGGCGTGGGCTCCGGGTCCATAGGAACAGGTGAGCCTTCTCTTGATAAGCTGTCGGGAGTCTGAACGCCGCTGGAGTGGGCCGACAGTGCCCCCGTGTGGTTAGGAGACGCTGGAGCGCTCCTGAAATGAGACGGGAAGAAAACTGTATGAATAAACTCAAGGTACATTGTTCATGAAGGCCTGTTTGTTTAAAAGCATGGGAAGAAAGCATTCAATCTCTGGGACCCACACCACCATAAAAGCATATAAGAGCAATTTAAGTCTGTGTTACAAAGTGTGACTACATCAATTTAGGAACAGTTCATCTAAAAATGACAATAGTCTTACAGCAACAACAAGGGAAGAATACTAATGATCACCTGGATGAGAGTGGCCCGAGTGGGGTCCTAAAACATGGCACACCGCGCGGCCTGCGCTTGCGGAAAGCTTGTTCGATGAGCTTTCCCTCAGATGAGGGGTCTATTCTCCAGAAAGAGCCTTTGCCCGGCTCCTCTTGAGATCGGGGCACTTTGATAAAATAGCGGTTTAAAGACAGATTGTGACGAATAGAGTTCTGGGAGAGTGAAAAAGCAACAAAAAGGTTAACGTTTTCGCAACCGCTTAAGGTAAAAATGTAACTTCATTTGACACTTGTAAGGATGAAGCAGTTAATAAGAGACGATGTGCAAATCCACTTATAGAGCGGGTACAGGTTTTTTTTGTGGCAAAATAATTTAATGTTAGTTTTGCCCCATGATCACGCTCCAGTAGAACACTCTTTATTTGTGTGCAAAATGAGCAATAGCTTTGCACCCTTTAGGGCTGGGACGATAAATCGATGCGGAATCGATTCGTGGATCGAGTCTGAGATTTTCCGAATGCATCGCGATTCTGAGCTTAGATTTTAACAGCAGATGGAGCTCTAATCTAGTTTTTATCCGCACACTCAAATGCTCATGAAGAGGAGTGCTAAAGAGCGCTTGTGCGAGTCATGTAACGTTAATTTCACCAGTGGTGGACAGTAACTAAGTAGTTTTACTTCGTTGCTGTACTTAAGTACATTTTTCAAGTATCTGTACTTTACTGGAGTAGTTTTATTTTGAGTAACTTACTTTTACTTTACTACAATCCAAAGCATAAGATCGTACTTTTTACTTTACTACATTTCATAAAACTTATCGTTACTCCTTATAATATATCACATGCTCCGACACGAAGCGGTGTCTGATTCATGAATGAACGGATTCTTTTCAATAAACCCGTTAAATCAGTTTTCAAATCGCACCAAACGATTCATTCACGAATTGGAATTATTGCAGCTGTTCTCGAGTTGACAACTCACTGATTCAAATGATCCGTTTAGTGCGAGTCTCCAGTGAACTGAATTCACAAGAACCGGGAGATCTTGTCAGCGCACGCGCGTCTGATGCTGTTAAACGTAAGTTACTAATGTCGAATTTTAGGATTAATTATTGTAACTGAAAATCATATTTAGGTCAAAGTTGTTTATAAACTAAATTTGCTGTAAAGGGTGACATGTTTAAGCCCACTGAAATGCTTGATGCAGACACATTAACATCAGAGTCTCTATGTTTTAGGTCAAAAAACAATAAAATAGCTCATGCACGTTCATCTTCCCCGCTGATGTAACGTTAGCAGTTTTACTAAAGTGCTATGCATTTAGTCCTATGTGACGTCTGTTTTTATATTGTTTGTCAGCACACATAGCCTAAGTTACTATGTATCTGGATCAACTAGCAGAGTAGACAAATATAAATGTTTATTCATTCATAACCATGCTGAAAATAAGCCAATAATGTCAGCTGAAGCTAAGGAGCTTGCTGGTGCTAAAAGTCCAAATATTTTTATTCAGATAGATTACATCTGAGGGAAAAAGAAAGGATGTGATGTTCAGAACATGGTAACTACAGTAATTATCAAAGTGGGAAGTGATGCCCTCTGGGGGCATTTGGCCAGGGGTGTTTTTACACCACAGACAAGGTTTGAGAAGAAAAAAAAATTATGAAAATCGAATTATATTTTCCTTATTATATTAATTATTTCCTTATTGGTTATTTTGGGAAAATCCCAGGTATTTTGAGCAGTAGGATTATAAAAAAAAAAAAAAAATGATAATATAAAATTAAAATGATAAAAGTAGCCTATATAAAACTGCAAAATAAACATTCATCTATCGGTACTTTTTACTTACGTACATTAAAAAAAATCAAGTACTTTTGTATTTTCACTCAAGTAAAATTGAAAACGGAGTACTTTTACTGGAGTAATATCTTATTATATGGATCTGTACTTTTACTCAAGTACTTGATTTGTGTACTTCGTCCACCACTGAATTTCACCTCAGCTCAGAATGCTTTTATGACGCGAGATTAACGTAAACACAGTCAACTGTGAACACCCTTGTAATTTGCTTCAACCTTTTCAAATTTTATGAATGATTATTTTATGTTCAAGTGGGTGAAAGGATTTGGAAACAAGCAGAGTACGGCTGTTTCTAAAGCATGCAGCGCCATCTGCTGTTCAAAACTAAGCTCAGAATCGACTCAAGAAAGAATCGCGATGCATTCGGAAAATCTCAGAATCGATGCCGAATCATTTCTCGATTCGCAATGCATCAATTTATTTTCCCAGCCATAGCACCGCTCCCTTTCTCCGGCTCTGTGGCTTGAGAGTTTGGTGTCGTTTCTGTCCCATCTTTCTTCATAACCATGCTGAAAATAAGTCAATAATGTTAGCTGATGCTAACTGTCTAGCTAACGAGCTAATTAAAAAAATAAAGTCCAAGTATTTTTATTCAACCACCTAGATAGATTACAGCTGAGGGAAAAAGAAAGGATGTGATGTTCAGAACATGGTAACTACAGTAATTATCAAAGTGGGAAGTGATGCCCTCTGGGGGCATTTGGCCAGGGGTGTTTTTACACCACAGACAAGGTTTGAGAAGAAAAAAAAATTATGAAAATCGAATTATATTTTCCTTATTATATTAATTATTTCCTTATTGGTTATTTTGGGAAAATCCCAGGTATTTTGAGAAGAAGGATTATAAAAAAAAAAAAAAAAATGATAATATAAAATTAAAATGATAAAAGTAGCCTATATAAAACTGCAAAATAAACATTCATCTATCGGTACTTTTTACTTACGTACATTAAAAAAAATCAAGTACTTTTGTATTTTCACTCAAGTAAAATTGAAAACGGAGTACTTTTACTGGAGTAATATCTTATTATATGGATCTGTACTTTTACTCAAGTACTTGATTTGTGTACTTCGTCCACCACTGAATTTCACCTCAGCTCAGAATGCTTTTATGACGCGAGATTAACGTAAACACAGTCAACTGTGAACACCCTTGTAATTTGCTTCAACCTTTTCAAATTTTATGAATGATTATTTTATGTTCAAGTGGGTGAAAGGATTTGGAAACAAGCAGAGTACGGCTGTTTCTAAAGCATGCAGCGCCATCTGCTGTTCAAAACTAAGCTCAGAATCGACTCAAGAAAGAATCGCGATGCATTCGGAAAATCTCAGAATCGATGCCGAATCATTTCTCGATTCGCAATGCATCAATTTATTTTCCCAGCCATAGCACCGCTCCCTTTCTCCGGCTCTGTGGCTTGAGAGTTTGGTGTCGTTTCTGTCCCATCTTTCAATAACAGCCTCATTGAAAAGTCTGCATTACATCCTGACAGCATGTGTAATGTGCACTGAAATGTGCCAAACAAACGGTAAGAGTCAGACTGAAACAAGCAACAGCCATGCTTAAAAAAAAAATGTTGAGATCCTTCAGAAGGGTCTGCAGAGCTTTAGGTGCTACACACAATCAGTAGAGCAGAGGCTTGGAGTACTTCTCAGTAGGGTTGGGTACCGAAACCCGGTACCAATATGGCACTGGTACCTATGTAACCGGTATGTACTAGAACCAAATCAGAACGCAGATTTCATTGCCATGATCGATTTAAATATTTGTCCTCTGGCTCTCCAAAACAGACGTAAGCATCATCATCACCGGCACCGCACGTGAAAAATTATTTCCCGACTGAGAAAATGCACATGAACTCAAGTCGGAAACCTCTAATACTACAAATCCAACAAATCTTTGTAGTAACGCGACTACGCGAGTGTCCATGTTGTTTTCAGATTCCGACTTAAAAAGCAAAAACAAAAAAAAACAATACCCAACCCTACTTCTCAGCTCTTTGGTCATTAAGGGACAATAGCTTTATCTTCTTTAACTTATAAATGTAGATGAACATGCGTTGATGTACCCATCAGTCTGACAGAAAGTTTTTATATCAAAAGCACAAAGCACTGAGAATCCTCATGGGATGACCTCTTTAGATATTCTCACTAATTCAGAAAGCTACTAACAAGTGCTTGTTACACTCAACTCCATAAAAAAAACTGTTACTATCAACACTGTATACATTTTGTGGATCTTCCGAAACAATAAGTAAAAAAATAAAAATAAAAAAGGAAAAATAATAAATTAGTCTGCTCAACAAGTTCACCTCAACCACACAGACATACAATAACACTAAAACAACGACTAATTACATTAAATGACTAAACCGTCTCAAGACACTGCACACAGAAGAGCTGATTGACACTCACTTGCCAGCCCTTGTCTGCCGTCCTGTAATAAGGATAATTCTTAGTAATGTGGGTATATAATTTAAATATTTGTCCTCTGGCTCTCCAAAACAGACGTAAGCATCATCATCACCGGCACCGCACGTGAAAAATTATTTCCCGACTGAGAAAATGCACATGAACTCAAGTCGGAAACCTCTAATACTACAAATCCAACAAATCTTTGTAGTAACGCGACTACGCGAGTGTCCATGTTGTTTTCAGATTCCGACTTAAAAAGCACAACTCGGGAAACGAGAGCATCCGAGGAGTGCGTGAATGCAGCAATTACACTTGCTCTGATGGCAGCAGGTAGCCTTCCGTTAACTAAGCTAAACATGCTTAAATTAAAATGCCTAAAGCTAAACTTCCCTTGTATTCACATTTCTAAACTAGTTGTCCAACAAAAGAGAACATTATAATCTTTTTACTCCACAACACCAGTCAAATGCTTCCCTTTTGTGATCTAATGTGGCTTCTTGTCACAGAATGAGGCAGAAAATATGTTCCATAGGCTACTTTAAAAAGAATACATCGATTAGCAATGGATTATAAATATACTTAATTGTTATGAAAATACCGGAGATTGCTTGAATAACACAGATAAACTATATTGTCGCAGTCGAGTGTTTATTGTCTTTGTTTTATCATTCAAAACGTATATATGTTCTGTTTACTCAGTTACAGCTATAATAGCAATGCCTTTGTCCGTATAAGGGATTTCCTGGAGGGTCATGAGTTCTGCTACTTCTGTGACTGGATATGTGGATTTTCTGTGCGAGGGTGCATCCAGTATGAATAAAACAGACATCATGTGTTCATAGTGCTAACGGCCAACCCATCATTTTTGAGGAATTTGTATTTATTTATTTTTTAATAAGTATCGATTTGGCACCGGTATCGGAAGAAAAAAAACAAAAAAAAACAATACCCAACCCTACTTCTCAGCTCTTTGGTCATTAAGGGACAATAGCTTTATCTTCTTTAACTTATAAATGTAGATGAACATGCGTTGATGTACCCATCAGTCTGACAGAAAGTTTTTATATCAAAAGCACAAAGAAAGCACTGAGAATCCTCATGGGATGACCTCTTTAGATATTCTCACTAATTCAGAAAGCTACTAACAAGTGCTTGTTACACTCAACTCCATAAAAAAAACTGTTACTATCAACACTGTATACATTTTGTGGATCTTCCGAAACAATAAGTAAAAAAATAAAAAAGGAAAAAAGGAAAAATAATAAATTAGTCTGCTCAACAAGTTCACCTCAACCACACAGACATACAATAACACTAAAACAATGACTAATTACATTAAATGACTAAACCGTCTCAAGACACTGCACACAGAAGAGCTGATTGACACTCACTTGCCAGCCCTTGTCTGCCGTCCTGTAATAAGGATAATTCTTAGTAATGTGGGTATATATTCCATTCAGTGTTAGTTGTTTGTCTGGTGCCATTGTGATGGCCTGAACAATAAGCTGTGCATACGAGTAAGGAGGCTTGGAGTCATCCTGTTAAAGACAAGAAAGAGAGCATTGGACAGGTTACTGCATTTCAGATTTGACCGATCGGTTTCAGAAATGTCCACAGGAACAGTGATAAACAAGTAGGGCTGCACGAACGCGCATCTTGTCAGTAAAGCCATTCAGTAATCAGCGGTAAATCTCTATCACGTGCGGGCTTTCACACGGAGCAGCATTAACTACACAGAGCCATTGTTCACTGACAACCTGCGCAAAATATGATCATGGTTTTGTGCAGCTTGTCAGTGAACAACGGCTCGGTGTAGTAAATGCTTCTCCATGTGAAAGCCCGCACGTGATAGAGATTTACCGCTGATTACAGAACCGGCTTTACTGACGAGATGCGTATTAAATAATCGCATGCGATTTATCGCGCAGCCCTATAAACAAGACATCATTATTCTACGTGGCAGCATGCATTTTTAAAACATCTCGTACTTTTGGACTGTCTCCTCCAGATGCTTCCTTGTCATTTTCAGATTGGGAGTTTTCATTGATGAGATCAGCTGTGAGACCCCGACCCATTTTATAACTGGACAGTCCCGCACCTCGAGGACTTGACGGACAGGAGTTGGCAGCGCTGAAGAAAAACGACAAATAATAAAAGCATAATTAAATCTGAGATTTACAAGACTTCCTAATGACACTTATAGGTGCCCTCTAGAAGCCTGCGTTCTGTAAGTGAACGGCGCATTACTGTGCCATCCCAAAGAGGCACACAATCACTTTCACAGACTTTTACATTAACCGTTCCCTCCTGGTGGAATGCTCAGCCCAACTCAATCCCAGCAGCTGAGTCCTTAGCCATCTTCACGAAAAGGCTAAAAACACATCTCTTCCATCTTTTTTTGACCCTCTAACTCTAGCACTCTCTATTCGTTTTCTAACTGCTCGTTTCTTAAAAAAAAAAAAAAAAAAAGAGGCCTCTAACACTAGCTTTCTCTATTCTATCTACTTTTCTTTTTATTTCTTATATTTAAAAAAAACCACCTTGCTACATGTACTGCATTAGGCTAACCGAGACTTGTCATAGCACTTGCTTATTATAGCTCTTTTGTTGGTTTTGATTGCTTCTGTTGTCCGCATTTGTAAGTCGCTTTGGATAAAAGCGTCTGCTAAATGACTAAATGCAAAAGTAAGCATAAGGCCCTTGGAATAAAGGTCAGTATGAGATGATGACACAGACGTTGAAGCAGATGCGCTTACCTGATTGTACCTGTTGGAGACGGGAGGGGACTCATCAGGTGGGCGATGTTGTCTGGAATGTTGATGGTCAGCGGCGAGATCTGGGGTTGGACCGCTTTCACAGGAGACTCCGGCGCGTTCCTGCGGTCTCTCTTGTCGCTGGACAAGGCAGTGAATGTAATTTTGATATTTGTGCTGGGAAATCGGAAAGTGCACCTACAAAATAGGGAACAGAGTTGGAATTTCAACCACTTACGCATTGATGGAGAAGCATATTAAAAATACAGCAGACATGCTGATACACAAATCAGCCAGCAACAGAATACAAAAGTAGAGCCGGTTTATATATGGACACCAGCTTGACCCGATTACACAACAGACACATTTTACCATAAGAAATATATTTGAACCTCTAACCACCATTCAACACAATAACCCTGCAGTGCGTTCACATTTCACACCATACACAAAGCATGTAAAAAAGTGCTCAGCTGTGAACTAAGTGGGATTAATAACTATGATTTGAAGTGAAGCTCACGAGATACAGACGCACCCCTCTGCAACAATAAAACACAATGTCATAACTTGCCATCCATCATACATATAAAAATGGAATCACTATAAATGTAAAAAAAACTGTAAATGAATGTACACAATGCAGCTTTGTAATCATGCACGCCAATGCCATTGAATGCAAGGTCAAATTCTGCGTTAAAACGTGTGACTACAATAGACAAAAACATAATCATTCATTAGAATGCATAAAACATGAATTATATTAACCAGGCTATTGTTTCGGATCACCATTTCCGATCCTTTCATTTAATTAGTGCCCCAAGCATACGTCACACATTTTATTAACTTGCAAGATTTGGGTCAGCTGAGGGCATCAAGTACTGAATGAACCCAAAACACACTGACCAGAGGATTTTTATCATATTGGCAATAATAACAGTACTGCGGTCGTTCGTTATGCTGGAATCTTACAGGAAAGATGCCATTAATATCCTTTAGGGTCGGCTCCTAAAGATAACGACAAAAGCAAAAGTAACCCTCGAGCGTTGTGACTAGTGTTGTGTAAACAGACTGAGGGCAATGGTTAGCTGTTGTGCTAATCGAAGGCTCTAGCGCGAGACGCGAGTTAGTGGCGGTTGTCATAATCAACACGTGCTGCTCGCGAAACAAAACAAATAGCGCGAGCGATCGTCGCAAACGCCTTCACGCGGCTGGCGCTGGCCTAAATCCTACCGGCAGTCGTTAGCTTACATGTGGGGAAGCTGGAGAGGAGGAGCCCCTCGTCTCTGAAACACCCCGTCCACGAACACCCCGTTTTTGCCGAGGCATCGAAGGTAGAAATCTCCGCTTCCCGTTCCAGCCTCGCCGGCGGAGAAAATCTCGAGGTGCCTCCGTGAAATAAAGCTCGAATGGCCCATGCTCACGTCCACGGAGCCTTGAGACGAATTCCGACCGACGGTGACCGAGCGCTTCTTCATCAGATACTCGAATTCTCGGCCCTCGAGCCGGGCAACGACCGACCCCGACATCCCGCTCACCGCCATCTTTATTATTTCTCTTGACGGGAATTTGAGACTATCAAAATGAAGCAGCAGGCGGCTGATGCTCGGTCGGGAAGCCTGCTTGCAGAATTTAGTGGGGGGGGTCGAATCAAAAGATGAGAAATAAATACGAAGGAACGTGCCAGCCCAGGGACAGCGGCTCCAACCCACAGCCGCGACAGAAAGAATGAAAAAACGATCAACTCTACCCAAACAAACCCTGGAGGCGGGGCCGGGCTGATTGACAGCGGTAGCGACCAATGGCTCTGCGGCTCGGGGGGAGAAAAATGGAATCCACCAATCAGCAGTGAGAGGAACAAGCGTGTAGCGCTGAGGGTTGGTTGTGCTGTGTGCTGCTGGCTGACACGCATGTTCTAAGAGGCGGATTTGCGATGCTGTCGGTTCATGGCATCCTACTCACAGAATAACAGATTTTATGGCGATATAATAATCCACTCATCTCCACAGGACTTCGGTTTTCTTGGCAATAATCGTGTTTCGTAATTAACGTGACGCTTATAGGAGCCCAGCTTGGAAACTGCTCCATTACACTGTTACAGTCTACTACTCTATTAAAGGTGCTTTCGTAATGTTAGTATGCTGCATTGCAGATTACAGATGAATCATATAAAATGCTAAATCTACGGATCATTTCAAGATTTTCTTTACCATACACTGTGAACAACAAATCAACTTAAAAGCAGAATCTACTTTGTAAACTTTGCCATGTTTATCACGTTACACAACGATAATACACACACACACACACATTGGCAAAAACACATAAATTAATACTACTCTTTCCACCAATAGAATCCTCTCTAACACACATCAGCCGTCTGTCCCATCATTAGAGGCCTAAATTGCTCTTATCATTATGAAAGAATTGCCATGCTTGATTTTACAATCATCTTTAATTTGTCATATGATACTGAATTCTGTGGCCATCATCTTACATCATCATCTTCATGAAATTATGCGCATCACTTGCACGTTATCAATGACAAAAGCATCAAATGAGTAACAAAATAGCTTATAGATACATTTCAAAGAACGGTTATAAGAATTAAGACAAAAACATAAAAACACTAGGTGACGAGACTGACTGGGCACTTTTCTAGAATTTGAGTGCATTAGTCTTTAAAAGAGAAAGATCAGGGTGTCAGTGGCTACTGCGATACTACATAAAGTGCTAATTCTACAGCTAATAAACAAAAAGATGTGGTTCAATGCATTCATCTGCAACCAGGTTTAAATGGTATGCAATTCACCTTAGACTTAACCTCTTGTAAATGTAGCAATGTAGTTATTCTCAATTACCTTGTGAAGAAAACAGGATTTTAGAGTTGATCATTTTATTTGAACCGATTTAGAGTGTAAATATAGACTAAATATGATGATGCGATTCTTCATTCCTCCCCACAGCCTAATATGTTGTGTGTGTCTATCAGTCACGTAACTTGTGTGATAGTATGGTAAAACTTTTACAGAGCACTGATTATATTAATTAGATTTTCTTAAAGCCAACAAATACATGAAATGAGGAGCACACATTTACTCCATAAAATAGCTGTTTTGTTATACTTGTCTAAATACAATGTAGTTACATCATTTTCATCCGGTATGCTGCGTTCATACAGCAAGAAAAACGGTATCTAACACCCAACAAATAGTTTGCAAATACATAGTGTGAATGACGTGCATGTTTACACCCGCCTCTGCTCTTAGTTACAGAGGCGCTTCCTACATTAGATTAGGTTTTGTTAGTGGACAAAGAGATTTTGCTCTCGCTACCTAGCCAAGGACATCCAAAGCTTAAAAAATCCAATGGAAGACAATTTTAAAAAATTTGTCCTTTCAAAAAAATAAGGTTTCCCTCTTGTCACGCCACAGAATGTGTTTTCTGCGGTCACAGTTTTTCAGTCATCTCTCGGTGTGTTCAAAGAAAGGTCTCTCATGTTTGAACAAAGAGAGTATTTCGAGTTTCTTTTGGTCTCTCCTCCATATATAAGTCTGTGTTGCGAATGCCACTCGAGTCCTTTGACATCCTCAAGAAAGAAACAATCTGGTAAAGTGAAGTAGTGTCTATGCTCAGATCTTCTCGTCAGTCATTTCCAGAAACTGAGCGTAAACATCCCTTGAACACTCCCCTTTTTGGTTGAACAGAAACTTGTAGTAGCTGCCATCAGCACAAATAGCTGGAGGAGGGTCGGAGGAAAAGTTAGTCACTTAACAGCTGAGAATGAACAGTTCTGCGAGTCATATCAGTAAATGACTGATTATTCACACCACATGCATGTTACAGGCCTATGAATACAGTACTTTTAAAAATATGAGCTCATGTTTAAAGTGTGCATTTCATACGCTTCACTCTACCTATAACAGCGTTGGGTTCTGTTCCAAAGGCACAGACGCAGGGCGAACCGGATGGGACCTGGAACTTGGAGAAACTCCATTTGGAGCTGAAATACTTGGGGAGAAAACTGGCCGATGCCAAGCTGTGGCAAAAGAGGGTTTGAGGACTGTAAACAACGTTTGCAATAAAATACGCAGCATAAATGCCAGACAATAAAAAGTTGACAATTTCCACTAAAACCTTTAGTGTGCTCTAACACAAACCTGGACTGCTTGTTCCTTTTGGGATCCTCTGCAGCAAATATGTGGACTGTGCCATGGTCACTCGATACGCAGATAAGAGAGGCATCTTGGTTGAAATTGATGCTGAAATAGAAATACACTGTTATAAATACACACATATTCCCCTTTACAGTATTACAATAGGATAGCACGCGTGCAGTGGATTACCAGTATATATTGGCAGTTTGCGATCCTCTTCTCAGCTCCTGAATAAGATGACCTGCTGAGGTGTCGAATATTCTGATCAGGGTCCCCTAGAGAGAAGACATTTTCTCCATTAGCTAATCGCTGACATGCAGTGCTGGAACAATCCTTGTGAATCTAGTGACATGATCAAATCATATCGATTTGCTCTGCATGTCACACACATAAAACAAATGAAGACCGAAATGATGCCAAAATCAACAGTGGCACTGAACTGACTTTTTCAGATGCCGTGGCTATCCGTGTGCCCTGAAGGTTGAGAGCGATGCAGCACAGAGCTCCTTCATGTGCAGGAATATCCACAGGCGGTTTCTCTGTATTGGCCAGATCTACGATCTGAACGTGTCCGGAGTGAGTGGCTGGAAACGCTAGCAATGAATTGTTGCTGTTTGGGCACAAGACACACAAACCTGCGAAGACAATCAGAGTTTTTTATGTGTCCTGTAAAGATGAACAGGTATTAATGCTTGTGGTTTAGTATAAGACCACAGATGAATTGCTAGAACACAACTTACCTTTAGGGTTATAGCATGTTTCAAAGACATGCAGCTGATGAGGATTATGAGTAAATGTGAACACTTTAATCATGGAGTCCAGGACCACCACAATTCTGAAACACAAAACAAGCCAGACGTTTATAAGGAACTTAAATCTAATCTTTATTGCTTTCCTAATAAATCCACAAACTAAGGACCAGTGTTATCAGAAGGTTCCAACTCTGATGGAGGGCTGCTTTCGTACGGTCCGTGGTTTCTAATTTTAATGTGTTTTTGAAGCATTGCACAATCATAGACTTGTCTGATGCAACGGCCGATCAGAGGTGCTTAAGTTAGTCAGACTCCACTTGTTAGTTTTCTTTTAGTGTGAGTGCTGCATGTACACCAATCGTCTCATTTTAACCAACAAAGAGTAGATATGACATAAATAAGATTCATAATGCAGTGTGGTCATCTACATTGATTGTGAGAGTGCAGAACTCTCTTCAGTGATTATAAAGGCAGCTCGCTTTTTGTCAGTAATACATTCACAACTTGAATAAAAGTCATGAAACTGACAGTAAAATCCACCATAGTGATAACGTCTGCTTGAGTAGCTTTAATAAGCGTCTACAGTTAGATCCTAAAATAACACTCTGTCCTATTAATTGTAAAGTGTTTTTGTTATTAATTTTATTACCAACTTGCCACTTTTTAAAAGCGATGTTTACTCATTTGACGTATTTTTACTTATTCTATTATATAAATATGTTCCAAGAGTTTTTGTTACGGCATTGAAATCGGTGCAGTACCATGAAATTTTACTAGTATATTACTGGTATTCTACGGACTACAATATTTGTCAGTCAATGTCAAAGACTGTGCGGCTGCAAGAGTCATTTCTGCATTTGTGATATTGTAACTTTGAATGTTCTCTTGCAACTTTAAAGACAAAATGATTCTAGCTTTTCAATATCAATGCATGAAAATAATTTGCCTATAATGATCCTCAATCAGTTGTCAGACATGTACAGAGTCAAAGAAATTTATACCAAAGTAATTTTAATGAAGAATACAACTACTAGAACATATGAGATCAATACCTGTCACGGCGAAGCTTAACAGCTTTGACCTCTGTGGAAAACTCGATCTCTATCACAGTCTTTTTCTTCAGGTCATCCCAAATCATCACTAACACAAAGACAGCAAAGATTTACTTGCAGAAATAATTTATGCAAAATCCAGTAGAACACGCATTAAAAAAGGTGAATGATGCCATAAAGCCATCTGAAACAGAAATATACCTTTATTAGGAGGGTACTTTGGTTTTTTTCCGCCTCCCACAAGCGCAAGATAATTGCATCGAAAAAGCATCTCCACGTGACCAACTCCTCCCTCAAGAAACTCTGAGAGCGAAGAGAATTAATGAGTCAACAGCTACCACAATAAAGCATGGATACTGTCGCTGACAAAGATCCCATAAACTGTGAATGGTGAATGAGTAACTGTTGCTAAATGTTTATCCTTATGTTTAAAAAAAGAGATGGTGACAATGACAGTCGTGGACTAGGTGTATGTGTCATCTGTCTGTAACAGCTCTGGAAAAATTATTTCAGAGTTATCATGCATTTATACTAAACTTCTGCGTGACAAAAGACAAACAGGTATCTTCATTTGTTGTGTGCATTTGCATTAATAAGGCAAGTTTTAAAAATCACAAGCAAAATTTAGCTTATTGCTATTGTTTTAATATTCATTAACCCCTGCTATAAATATCTTATCCAAACATCTGTCAGTGTGTGTTTACTGAATATCTGCAGCATTTAACATGTCAAAAATGTCATGAAGACTCGCCTTGTTTTTCCTTTTCTTTGAGAGGATCTGTGTTATACACCCTGAATCCATTTTCCATTCCACACGCAAAACATCCTGGTGGGGGGAAAAAAATACATTTTAAGGGAAATACTGGGATTTCCTGCTACTCTTCAGTTTCACCTTTAAGAATACCATTCTAGAGATGGACTAAACATCCACATGAAGGTGTCAGAATCAGAACCACAATCCTGTATGTCTACATGTGCTTAT